AATGTGTTTTACAATGATTAAGTTACAATTACACACGTAGGTTGAACATTGTTGCAATGCGTTTTTTGATGTAAAATCCTTATTTCTTACAAAATAAACGTTTGTTTATAATATTAGTATCGGAATTCCAATAAAAAAAATTTTGACAATTTTTTAAATAAAACTGACGATTGTATTCATTACTATAAACAATAAACTTCACAGAGAACACTTCGACTTCTCACATCTTGCAATAATAATAAACATTCGCGACTCAAATTATTTCATCCGCGAGTCCAGGACAGATATCTGTTTCCAAATTGCGAGCAGATGCTTCGACGTGTAGATTTACGAAAGAAAGAGAGATAGTAACGTAATACGAAGTTCAGTGTCAAGTGCGTATCGCGTTACGAGCGTCATCCGATCTTTCTCGTACCGAGAAATAAAACTCCGATTAGAACGATCACAATCATTTGATTCGCGCTTATCGGACGCAGCTTGTGGGAAAGAAGCGCGAGAGGAAGAGAGATAAATCGTTCGAATCGCCACGGTCAACCTGCAGCGAGAACTTTCGGGAACTTATCTTCTTCTATATAAATCAAGTTTCGAGACAGAGAAGAGAGAAAGAGAGAGAGAGAGAGAAAGAGTTTCATACAAATACATTCTTCTATTCAAGTGCTCTGCGTTAACGAGTCAGCGTAACTCGAGCGTGATAAATTCCGAGTAAACGTCTCATTAAGCGCCGAGTCGATTGTATCTTTTAAGAAGGAGTGAAGGAGAAGGTGGCCTTAAAATACATTCGGAACGCGCGCGTAATCGCGATTGCCACACTCTCGCCGAGGCGCTCGCGCGCGCGCGCTCTCTCTCTCTCTCGATGACGAGGGGGAAGTTTTCTGCAAATGTTACGAAGACTCCGCGCGCGCACACGGGACTGCCCACAGCTGTTCCTATAAATAACAACCCCCGATTTGACGCAACCACGCGAGTGCTCGCGGCAAAGCAATTCTGCATCTTCTCTCGCGAAAGCGCGGCAACGTATGGTTATTGACCCTCGTCGTAACGCGCGCGCAAGCCGGGTCCGGGCACTATTTCCGTTCGCGAAATAATGGGCCGAGCGTCGTAACGTGTGATTTAAACGCGCGCAGGATAGACCGAGGAATCCTCGCGAAATCGGCGCGCGCGGCTGCGTAATCCTGTCGGTGTGAAGAAGAAACTCTTGAAACTGAATATTTTTTACACACACTCCTCTGTAAATAAATAACAAAATCTCGAAGTTCACACGAAGCGTCAAGACACTTCGTTCTCGCTTTTTTATTTTATTTAATTGACATTTCTTCAAAAACTGTGTAATAAATGTACTCTTACATCGTCAATTTTGTTTTATCTCGTGAAATATTCAAAAAAAAAAATATATATATATATATATATTTATGGAAATTGGAAAACAAACTTTTGATATTTGTAAATCAACGAAGTTCGAAATTATGCAATTACGTTGCGCGCGGTAAATGAAAATCATCGTCGGAAATGACGAAACGCGCAACGGTTTTTAGCAAAACAGAGTATTACGATTGAAAATTAGATTATTACACACATACGGCACATAATTACGTTCTGCTTGATGCGGAGTTTCATTCGCGGCCAGCAAAATGCAATAAAATATATATTGAATACAATGAAGTGGGGGATTTATTCGCGGATTACATTATTCATCACGCTCGAGAGATTAAATCTCCATAAATTATTTGACGCACCGGCGATACTCATTGGCGACGTGAACTCAAATAGCCGCGAAGTGTGTATGAATTACATGAGTAATGTGCGGTAAGCGTTACCGCACGCAATCTATGTCTAATCCGCGCGTCTCTTTCTCTAATCTACTTCTTGTGTGTTATGTATTTTTATAACACATTGAAATTATACAACATTATCGTGGTCTCCGTAAAAGCTATTTCGATCGCAATTACCAAACCGCAGCGCGATAATGAAAGGAAGCGAATCCTATGTTCTATACGTTCCGCCTATAAAAACTTCAATCGCAACGCTTGTTCCACTTAGGGAAACCGATATTAGAGATTCATCATTTCAGCGGATTGATCGATCGCGCGACAACAATTCTCCGCGCACGTAACACCGCAACAACGTACGATGTAATGACGTTTTTATCGGTAAGAGATCACTTGAGACCACTCCGCGCATTACCGGGGCTTCAACAGGGATCGAGTACCAGGCTCTTACGGATTTTCTACTTGATTTACAGAGCGGCGAGGCGTGCGCTGGCGCGAGAAGAGCGAGAGCGCAATCGATGATGTCACGCACTTGCGGTTGATAGCCGCAATCTCTCTGCGAGGTGCGCCGGCACGATCGACATCCGAGATTCGGACTTCGTCGCGCTGCATCGCGTTTTATAGCGCGTTTTACTGCGTGTGCTGTGGCTGACCAGTGGTCGCTCTCTTTCTTCTCTCCTTCTCTCTCTCTCTTGCCCCATCGTGTCTCTTCTCGTACGCATCGCTGTTCCTACTTGCTCCTCTGGTCTTCTCTCTTTTCTCCGCAAAGGAGGCACGACCAATGGAGAAGGGTCATGGCCGGACATCGTCTGCCGTATTCTCTCTCTTTCGCTCGATGCTCTACACCCACACTACATCTGTTCTACTCGCGGTATACGCTTCTCCGCGTCCTCTCGCTCCCATCTCGCTAAACTCTCGTAAAAGTTGAAGTTTACTGTGCGTCGAATATGAGCCATCGCTGTTTCGTTAACGATTTTTTTTTTTTTTTTAGCGACATATAAATTTGCGCGAGCAACTCTTTGAAAAACTTCGAAATGCAAAGAGAATGATGAGAAGAGGATAATGTTGTATCGCAATTGAATCTATTATCTTTTATTTATACTTCGAGCATAAATAAAAAATTAATGAATTTTAATTGTGTCTCGAAATACAAACGCAAGCTTGTAAATGCTAAACTAATGAGTATATCGCTACGCGCGGAAATATACATTACTTTCTTAATGTTCGTTTAAAAAAAAAAAAAAAAATACGTTTGGAATAATTATTACCGAGAAGAAATACTCAGAACCGGTCTGCGAGACTTTTGCCTAGTCACATCTTTCTAGAGTATCGTCAAAAGCGCGCAAAAGACCCGAGGCAGTATCATCGCAAAAAATTTCTGGGGAGAATTAAAGTGTTTGGATATTGCTACCTGGGGAATGAACCAAACAAAATATTTTGGTAGTGACTCATGGGACATCGACCCCGAGCAATGATACAAGTTTTGTCAACATGATGCAATATTTGCGGGGGGATTTCCGAATCTCTTCACTTGTTTGATTAATTTTCATTGAAATAAAATAAGTAGAAAATAAAAAAAGAATGAAATTCGTGTATACTTTTGATAATTGTAAAATATAAATACAGTTTTGCGTGTTATTATTGTGTATTTGTTTATCTGATGAAAAATCTCGTGCGCCGTGTAAATACTGTGATTTTCTCTTTCTTTAAATAGTTGATTTTAGAGTACAACCAAATGAATGTCTTCACGCACGTTAGCTTCGCTGAACAGCTTTTATGTAAATGATTCGACGACGCGTAAGAAGGTAATCAGTCTGAGCGTGAAAATTTAAGTGTCATATGCGAAACTCTCTTGTGTTCGCTTCTTGCGTTGCTCCGTGAAATTCCTGTGGCGCAACCACGTGTTGCACCCTAGAATTCTGGCCAAGACATTATCGAGCGGTCTGACTAGTAGTAAATTTGTGAACGGGAACTGATAACTTTGGTAATACAGTAGCTTCGGTTTAATAGTGATAAAGCGACCATCTAGCGATTGAGTAATTTAGAGGTTCAAATGGGTTTTTTCTCTACGGGATAACACACATCAGGATCTATTTGCACATTTGATGGATCGAAGATCAATTTTTTTCCGGGAAAAAAAAACAAACAAACAAACAAACCAAATGAGACATTTTATTTTTTGAAAAAAAAAAAAAACAATATTTATAAATAATCATAATCAATTGATGATTTGGCTTTATTTGTTAAAACTTGATTTTCTTGTGAGATCTTGTTAAACGTTATCTAGTCAACAATCTCTCTCAACGTCAAAATCGAAAATTAATAAAAATCACGCAAGTACACACATTTTTACATAAAGTTCTAAAAACGTCTTTTATATCATCTTCTATGATATACAATTACAACATATATAGATATCTCTCTCTTTGAAGAATTTTTTATTCTAAAGTTTATACATCATAGACTTCACTAGACATAACATGTAACTGTTTATCAGAAGAAAGAGTTAAAATATACACACGACTAAGCTTACCTGTGTAATTTTAAATTCTTTCATTCAAATATCAGTTAACAGCAAAATCTTTTTCTCACAGCTCTCACAAATCTCTATCTTACTCCAACAATTATCACAGCAAAAAAATCTTCATTTATTCGCAACATTCTTTGTAACTAGTTATTCGATTTACGAATACTTACAAAAAATTAGCACATTTTTTTTTTATCCTAATTTAATTTTATCTGAGACAAACTTATCGCGCGTTCTCTTATCTAGTCCTCTTGTCATTTTTATCGTATCAATTTCTCAAATCGAAGCAATAAATTAAATTTACCACAAATAGCAAATTAAGTTATTATTTCGAGATTATTTTCTTGTATCATTTATTATATAACAAATCATTAGTGTTACAGAACAACAAAACGTTTCGACTGTTACTTATCTCAGTCGTATTATCATGTAAATTTTAAAAAACGTTCACACAATTACACACATTAGCACACATATCGTACGTCAAAATTGAATCAATTTCGATGGTCATCTAAAAACATTTACAATCATTTTTCGTTACTTAGTCTCAAAATTTGCTCAATATGAAAAACGCAGTTTTATTATTTTATTACGCTTGAACCGGTCTACATTGTTAATTGTAAGATCAATTGTAAGATTGTTTACGGCAAGCACGTAAAAAATCACAAAACTTGCGAGATAGAAGAAGTAAAAAATGAAGAACTCACGATTTCGCGAAGGATGTCGTGCGCTCCTGCTGCGAAGGGCGTTCTCAATGCACAAGTAGATATCGAGAAGCACCTGTTCCTCCGGTGACCTCTCGCTAGTGAATGGTATCGCCATTGCTTCGCTAGCTTGTGTCCGATCTTGAAAAATGCGGGCAAGATTGCACTTCGAGTTTGCGTTTCGAAGTGCGCGATGATGTCTCGTTTGCTCCGCTCAGATCGACGCACTGCAAATGTGAACCGAGCAATGTTCTGGTTGGGTTTAACTAGACACTCTCTAACAAGTGTTTTTGTTTCTCCGCGCACCGGACACTCTCTCAAGAGTACAAGTTCTACAAAATAATATCTCTCTGAAAGTTCTCTCGCAAAATATTAACAACTCGCAAACGTGTGTCACACCGCACACGTGTCCGTTCAATTTATCAGCGCACGCTCTCAACGTTCATCCTCGCGGATCGCACGTGGTCGCGCGTACGCATCGGATCCTCTCTATGAATCAAGGGATGTTAAAGGCTGCAACACACACTCTCTATTTTTTTTTTTTTTTTTTTTTTTTATTATCTCTGACGAGAGATTTTAGAGTTGTTTGCAGAAAAGTGTGTCCTTTCACAATGGATTGCTTTTCAACGTGCTGTCACTGAGAAATCGCGAGATAATTGTCTCTTCTCGCGACTACGTGCTAATCGATTGCTCGAACACTGAA